CTCTTATGTTAAAATAATTCATTTTAAATTATATATGGTTTCTTCCTAATAACTTACAGCTAAAAACGTTGTTTTACTTAACAAATTCAGTTTACACAGATGTCTAAAGATGAATAGCATTCTTATTTGAAAAATGTAAGTTAAAAACAAGATTATGAATACATTGAAAGCATTGTTTTAAAGGTTAATTAATGCATTATAGATTCAGGAGTTTAAAATTTGTTTTAAGTAGGGAATTGAACATTTGAAATTTTTCTTTCCCATTTTGTGATGGTATGAATAAATCCAATTCAAATACATTTTAATTATAGGTTTAAAATAGATGAACTTTTATAAATCGTTGTTAGTGAGATATTCTATATATTTTGTTAGCATATCATAGCATCTTTTTGTTCTAATGACTGATAATACTATTTTATTGGGAAATATTAAGAGAAACTTTGTTACAGTTTCTACACTTAACTTTTTTTTCTTTGGCTCTTAGTACTCTAAAATTCATGAGATTTCCATTGGTTTTATTAGTAATGTCTAGAAAATCACTTCTTTGTAAAACCATGTTTTTAAACAATTGATTGTGAATAAATGAGTCATTGGGAATTAGGAAACTCTTAAGTAATAGTGGTGGCAAAGTAGGAGATTAATACCCTAAAGATTTTCTGAATGGTTCTTTGCTGTGCTGGAAGACATTTATGTCTAATGGCATTTAATTTGTTTATAGGGAATAATATTAATAATTTATTCCTAAGAAAGTTACAGTATTTAGGAAAAATTACAGAAGAACCTAATAACTCAAATTTGAATTTTCAGGAAATCTTAGTTTTCTATTGCAGTAATTGAGTTTGTCTAGGTGTATGTGTGTTTTGCTGTTATAAGCTTACTTTAGATGCTTCTTTGGAAGATATGTCTTATATGGTTATGTCTTATCTAATATTGTTGATTAATCATTACCTTATTAGCCATTTTATGAATTACTGAGGCCCTTTTAGTTCTCTTTCAGTTTTCATGTTTTTCCTTATTTTCACAGTTCTGCTAAAGATCTAAAAGGGACCAAAGGCAATATAAGTAGAAGCCAAAATTTCTATTCTTATGTTTCTACTACTTGTTGCTCAACTTAAGTCTGTTTAATACCTGTTTAGTAATTGAAACGATATTTTTTAAATCTCTTGTTAATTTTTACTTTCACAAAGCTGAATGGCTGTATTAAAACTAGTTCACCAATGAGAAAAATATAACCACTAAGGTGTGGAAATGAAGAAAGGGTTTTTTTTTTAAAAAAAAAAAAAAAAAAAAAGAAAAAGGGTCATTTAAAGTGAGCTGAGGGAGATGGGTGGGATCCAGATGCTTGGAGCTGTCTACTTCCAGACCAGGTTAGTAACATGATGCCATTCACACAAAAAAATTGTTTTGCCTGCATGTTGTGAGTTGGTGGTCTTGGTCCTTTTAATTAGACATAAGAATACATCATAAAATTACGTTTCTTGTTGATCATCTTTTGCAGAAAGACTGAGAATTCCATTGGTAAAGAACCTAACCTGTCCCCTCACCCCCAGGGTGTGAACAGTGAAAAGGATTAAGGCCCACTGTAGGGAAGCTTGCACTAAAGCCTGCACTGCCCTTTCCCCTGTTCTTTCAGCTAAATAGATTTTTAGTTCCCATGACTATCAGTCTGGTGCTTTTCACAAGCACTAAATTCTCGTAAGAAAATTAAAAATGACTTATTTTTTTAGAAACTGGCCCGGAATACTGAAAGATGGTGTTTTTTTGGTACTTTGTTTCATGTTGATAGATCCCATACATATTATTTTTTTCTGATGCATGTTAATTTGCTTCAGCTTGTTTTGAATTTGGAGTTGAAATAAATATTTAAAAACCAAGGACAGGTTGTTATATGATTAGGTTTGCTTGCCCACAGTTAGCAATTGTAGAGTTTGACACTATTGAATCTTATATTTCATTAGAAATAGCTACCTGACATCCTTGTGGACATAAACTCTTTAACTTTTATCTGGATGACTACATTTATAAAGTGATTTCTTTTCATGTTTAAAAGCTTTTAAGTAGCTTTTATAAATGCTGAAGTGTCATTTTTTTTTAAGTATCTGCCAAATTGGTATTGTATTTAATCTTGAAACTATATTTTGGTTTTCTTAACTAAAAATAATTGCATAGTATTAAACATTCTCAGTAGCTAAACCTTTTTTTTTTTTTCTATTTAATTTGAGCTTTTGTTGTTACTAACAAATAATTTTTGGCACAGTTTCTTTTTTTTAAATGACTGCTAGAATCTATATACTTGTCACCTTAGTGTGCTAGAAGTGTTCCACTCAAATCAAGGGTTCCTTTCTGGTTTTGTATGTTCTCACCTGCTCCTCACTGTAAATCATTGAGATGTCAAGTTCAATGATTAATTAAGCTGCACGTGCAAGTGCTTTTTTTTTTTCACCTGTCAAGCAGGAAGGAAGTCTTATAGCAAGATTAGATGGTGCTAATTCACAGCTTTTACTTCAGACTGTGAAGTGTGTAGCAATATTTTATATTTATATGCTTATTCAGAATGTGGCATATCAGGGCTTATTTGTTTTAGAATTCTTAAATATTGTAAGATACAATTATTATACCAAGCCCTATCATTAAACTCCTAATTATAGGCAAAGAAGAAATTGAGAATTCCTACATAAATATTTTGAAATTTAAGATTTATACTTTATAATTATCTTTTATTCAAATACTAGTAGTTGATTTAAGTTAAAGTAAATATTTTTAAGTTTTAAAATTGTGTGTATGAATGTGTCTATATATCATAATGAGATCTATCCTTATTATAGCATGGGTTTAAATTTCTGATGAAATGATGGTGGTAACTACATTTTTTTCTTTAAGTAATAAGTATTTGCAGAATGTAGTGTTAAGCTTTTGGGTACTATTTTATACATTAATATAAGACAATGGACTTGGAAAGCTTGTTCCACTCTAGTTCTTTCATCATCCACCAACCCCCAAAATCATCACTAAAAGTAAAACCTCAAATTGTATAGTAATCTTAATCTATTATTAAAAGGCCCTAGAAAGAAAGATTACAAGGTAGATTCAGGTTTTGAATCGGTTTTGCCATTGGTTTAGCAGCGGGTGGGCAGGCAGATGCCTGCTCAGAGTAGAACCTATTGCCATTTTTCACCATTGATAGAGTAGCCTTTCAGAGTCAATGAGCTCTGTCAATGTGAGCTTGTCAAGGCTACAACTTCATAGACCTGAGAGGCGGTTTGAGAGGTCAGCCCTTTTCAGGTTCGCTGTGATGCAAATGAACTTTAATGCTTAAACAACTATTGGAATTTTTATGTCTGCTCCTTGTTCTTTTTTCTTCACAAAGTCATTGACGAGACATTCAGTGCTTTTTAAATTGGAAGTTGCATTGTGCTAAAGACCTAGTACAGATTTACGGAGGGCTGAAAGCAGTTAGATCATGTTCTTTTCATGGTGCGATTAGAATCAAATCGATTTCCCTACAGCCTTCAGCATTCAGATGGCAATTTTAACAAAGCTTGGGGGCTAGACAAGGGACAAAACGACCGAACTGAATGTTAATTACACTCTGCAGCCTTATTTTCTTTTGATTTGGGGCTGACTGGCAACTAAATTAACAAAAAGTGTGACCATAACTGCTGCCCTATTTTCATTTAAAAGGAGAGCTGCCTCTAAAAGGCTATCTTTACAAAGAAACAAGTGAGGTCTGCTGATCATTGTTAACAAGGGCACATTTTTTTCTTTAAAATTCTTGCCAAAAAGACTCTTCAAAAAAAGTAATGTAATAATAAATTAGTCATTGGCATATTATTACCCAGAGAAGTAGCTGATTTTCTGAGTTTTGTGACATAAGCTTGGAAAATGTAAGGCAGCAGTTGTAATTCATTGGTAGTTATGAATTATAATTGGCACCTATGTGACTTTGGTGTGTCTTTAGCATGTTTAATATGCTAAAAGGTAATGTAACTATTTAAAGTAGATATTTTAAATACATGTTAAAATTTTATTATGTAACATTAAACTGTTCAAACCCAGCTTGATCCTAACAGTTTTGCACCTAGCTAATCCTTGCTTGACATGCACATTTTCATATTTGATTACTAGTACTTCCTTATACCACATTAATAGTGGTAAGATGTTTTTTTCTTTCCTTTGCAAGAAAAGTGCAGCTGAACCAAGTTGCAGTTGATCCTGGTGGCAACACTGTCATTTTTGCACCTGCAGCTGTGTCAGTCTCATCCTAACACCTGGCACCATGAATTATCTTCTTTTATCCATACTCCCAAGCAGGAAACATTTCTTGCAGCATAGCGTATCTTGCTTGCATCAGTCAACTGAAGTAAATTCTGAGTTGATTCCTGAAACAGTAATATTGAATTAAGAGTTTGATTTTACTATCAGATGGCACTTTTATGTTGGTTTAAGTAAAATTTTGACTCTTCAAAAAAAATCTATTGGTAGAATAATCAGTAAGCTGTCTTTTAAATATGGGCATTATTTTAAGCATGGTGTGAAAATTAGTTTGATTTTATAATTCATTGATTTAATATTAACTTCCAATTTTTTGTTTTGGAACTTACTGAAAGGCCATTTGCATTTTGTTAACTAATATTTACTTTTGTTGTAAAATATGTATTAAGGAACTTCTGTTACTATTTAAGTATTGGAAACATATTTTTGAAAAAAATGGGGATTTAATTTTATTTGGCAGATGACATTAGCTTTTAAACCTTGATAGTTTTAAATCAGAGGCTAGTAAAAAAAGATTCGTATGATAGAAATAAAGCCATATCTTTTTAAAGAAAGAGAACTCTTTGTGTTCAGGTTACCATTTAGTGCTTAGAAAATGGATAGTGATGCACACCACACTATACTCAGTCACTGTCTTACACCTCTTCCCTTTTCACAGAAAAAGCAGCTGCAAAACAAAGTTTTCTAAAACCAGTCAAGAGTAAACTTTTTTCTCATTTGTCTTCCAGACACGAAGATCGATTGAGAAGTTATTAGAATGGGAAAACAATAGGTTATACCACAAGGTGAGTACCACAGGGAGCAGCTTCGTACTGTTGGGGTCTGAATTGCACAGTATGGAAACAGATGCTTTTGTTGAACTAAAAATATGAAAGGTGGACAAATGGGTTAGTCTGTGTGCTGCAATAAAATAGAGCTCATTTTTCTTCTTTTACTCTCCTACTTGTCTAGCTGTGCTTGCATTGGAGACTGAGCAAAAGGAAATGTGAAACGAATAACATGATGGAATATGTAAGTTAAAGGGCTGTTTTGTGAGTTTCTCTATTAAATGATCATTTATTTTGCTTCTGATCTTATTCTTTCCATGATTATTAATCAGCAAAGGTGTCAGGAGCTTAATCTCCTGAGTGCAAGGATTTTCTACGGTTCACAGATGCATGGTTTCATGTGCAAGACTGATTTATAAAGTTATGAATGACTTGAAAACAAGGCTTCACTGTGTTCTGAAAAATAATAAATTAATTGCCAAGATAAAATAGCCTGAACATGTGTTGATGGAGTGTGAAATTTTAGATGCTGTATAAAGAATAACCACAACTTTGGTTACGCAGCAAGTCAGATATGGCTTTTTTATATAATGCTAATCAAGTTTCCAAGTATGGAAGAAAACCTTTCAGCCAAGCCATTGGAGCTTAAGAAACCTTTAGCCTTTATAGATTTTAACTGCCCGTACCTCAGTGCCCTTTAAAGAATCTGTTTTAAAGTGTTATTAGAATATTGCTTTGTAAAAATTAAAAGTAAGCAGGAAATGAGATGTTGATCATCTTGTGTTTACTTGTTAAAAAATATCTAAGTTGGCATATATATACAATGAATTTTGTACTTACTCAGCATGGGATTTAATTTACTGACTCCATGATTTGAGCAGTTTTTCTCCTTTTGAAAATTTCAGAATATTCTAGAAAATTAAGAATTTTAATTTTCTTTTGAGCTTGGGTACTGTACTTTAAATATGGCCAGGTTGTTACTTTAGAAGAAAAAGATCTAAGGAAAAATTAATTGTTGAAAGTAAAACTCAGAGCCTTTGTGAAGTATCTGTTATAACATTTCTGAGGAATTTTGCCTATTCTTTAAAACAATATAGCCATCATAGATGTGTGTGTGTGTATGTGTAAAATATTGATTAAAAGAGTGTTTTGTTGTAAATTATCATAAAATCATTTTTCTCTGTTAGCATTTTCCTGTTCTTTCATTATCACACAGTCAAATCCCATTTCTAGCCTTGAACATAAAAAATATTTTAAAAATGTCTTAGACTAGCTTTATTCAATGAACCAAATAATGTAGATTTTATCTTTATTATGTCAAAATGTTAATTTATGATGATGAGAAAGACACCTGATACTTCTTTATAATCGTAACACATTTGAGTAACCCATTTTGAGGTGAGAATACTAGTCTTGTATTTTCATCTTAGATAGTAAGAGGGTTTATGTATATATTTTGGGGAGAAGGATGGATAGGAGATGTAAAGAATTTGGTGAAAAAAAAGTTACTACATTTGTAACACAAACACTAAGCTTAAAACTAAGTTATTAATTTTTTGTGCATTTCTAAATTTACTTTGGAAAGGAAAACATAAAAGTTGTCCCAATGCTGTGATTTCCAGATAGAACTGTGTGACTATAATTTATTCATAAAGTAATTTAACCTTCCAAAACATTCTGAACTATATGCTTTGTTTGTAAAATAAGTTTCCTTGAATTTTTAGATAATTAAGCACTTCTACTAAAGCCATTATATTATTTTCACTCCATCATAGAAGATATCCAGAAGAGTAGTAAAGATAAAATAAATATTTAAATTGCTAGGAAAAAGCTGGGTGTAGTGGGCATGCCAGTAGTCTAGCTGGGGAGGCTGAGGCAGCAGGATCACTTGAGTCCAGGAGTACAAAGACAGTCTGGATAACATAGCAATACCTGCCTCTCTTTAAAAAAAAAAAAAAAAAAATATATATATATATATATATGCATGCTGGGGAAAAATGTGTTTTGCTAGATTTTCTTAGAGTATATATGTATTTTTGATAGTTGAAAGTGAGAATAATGTAGCTTAAAAAATTCATAAAAATGAATTTTAAAAGTTAAACTAGCAAATAAAATTCATTTTATCTAATGAATTTGGGCCTTTTTAACCATTTGTCCCTCTTTCCCTCAACTTTTCTTTAACTTAAAGAAATTTCATTTTGTTAAAAGAAAATAATTATCCTTGATTAAATTTGAACATTGGAAATACTAAAAAAAAAATATATATATATATATACACATACACACACACACACACCACACCTTGGTGCTAACTTTTCTTTGTTCAGATATGGTAGAGACAGATGATTTAGAATAAATGAGACAAGTGGGTTCTGAAGGAAAAATTTGTAGGATGTATTATTTAAAAACTAATAGTTCAAATGTAGGCAAAGATAGCCTTTATTTTATGTTATGTATTAATAGTATATATTGTAAAGTGTGGGTATGCCCACAACTAGGGACTAAAATTATAAAGACTGATTGAGGACATATTTGAAATACAAAAGAATTTGTTTAATGCTGACTCTTACGTAGTTTAAACATTTAATTGTCAAATTTTAAAGCTGCAAAGAATCTTGTCATCTAGTTCGATGCCTTTGTTTTATAGATAGGGAAATGTAGCCCAAATGAAGAAGCTAGTTGGGAGAAAATATTTTAACAGGGAGCTAGTGAATATTTTGTAGGCAAATCACAGGTCAGGAGAGTGGCAAATGTGACAGCTAAGGCTTAGTGCAGGATACCTAGAGTAAGACAGGAATATTTTTGAGCCAGGTATAGAAGTGTGTCTTCTTTATTGAGGCAGATCAAAACCCAGGAGAACTGAAAAGTGAAAATGAAGATTCCTGGCCCAGACAGCTAATCTGTAGAAGTATTGAAATCTAGAGGTCATATCAAGCAAGACACAATTTCTGAAAAAGAACGATGAGTCACTAGACTTAGAAACTTTTAATATCAAATAATTTTTAAATCACCATCTATTTCATACAAATTTGGGGCAAAAGAAAGAGTTGATTGTAATTTAAGAAAATTCAAATTTGGAAAAACTAACTTTGGTCACCTTGTGTAACTCTGTGTTACCATATTTTGTTTTCATTGGTTTTCCTTTAGTTTCCTATTAAAAGGCCTTTTGGAACAAATTTTGGCCTGTAATTTTGCTAACCTAAGAAGAAATGGACTTTTTAAAAAATTAAGAGATAAAGGACCTTTTATCTAAAGATTACATATTCTGGTAGAGTAAAATGAGAGCAACTCTAGAACTTAGAGAAGACTCGTGTAATTGGGTTGATTAAAAAGGAGAAAGTCTGAAGAAAAATGTTGGGTGAGCTGCAGTCACGTAGGGTGGTAGAAAGGGCAAGTCTTTGGCGTTAAAGACAGTCTTTTATTCAAACAGTGAGTCCACAATCAATTGTGATACAACTTCTCAGGATCATCAGTTTCCTCATCTGTAAAATAGGGATTATAATACTTACCTCATAGAAAAGTTGTTGGGTTTAAAGAGACCCAATGTAGTATGGAACACCTGGTATACAGTTAGTTCTAAATGCATACTAGCCCCTTTTCTCATGAGCGCAGGGGAGCGTGCATGTATGCATGTTTGCTCCTCCAGTGTGTCAGGGGCACTATCTATATCACCCTTCTCAGACTTTGGTGATTTTACTTGCTTATTTGTCTTCCTTTTCATAGAGCCGAGGTATTTCATGTATTTGGTAAAGGTCCAGAAATAGAAAAATTCTCAGTGATGGAGCTCTGCATTATCAGATAAAGATCTGTTTTAGTAATGCAAAGTTGCAGTTTTAAAATGTGAATGGATTTTCAAAAAAATTGCGATAGCATATAATTGAAGTTTTAAGAAAAAATTTTGTTTAAATCTTTTAAAAACTTTTTCTTCTCCTTTTACAGGTCATCCTCATAGAATTTTTACCAAAGACACCGATTTTTCGACCAGATTAGCATTTACTTTATTTATAGAGACTTTCCAAGTATGTTGTCTTTCCAATGGTGCCTTGCTTGGTGCTCTCCTGGTGGTGACATAACATTGGTTCTACAGAATTGTGTGGTGTTTTGTTTGTTTGTTTGTTTGTTTGTTTTTAAATAACCGCATGTTCTAAGTGTGCATTTTTGTCAATCTTTGCAACAGTTATTTCATATAGATGTTTAATACTTAAGTTATTGTGCTCTTTTCTGTTATGTATTCTGATTTTCAAGGATTACTTTTTTGTATTATCAAAAAAATACATTTGAACTTAGCATAAAAAGTGGCCAGCCTTTTTTATTTTGTCACTAAGGTACACACAGTCCTTTATTTATAAATTCCTTAACAGAGAAAAACACCTTTGTAAGGCTCAAGTTATCTATTCCAGCAAGCACACTTTTTGTATCATTTTTTCTTTCTTTTAAAATTTGATATTGTCATTATTTTAAAATAGTAAGTTTCCTTTAATAACCTTTTGGAACCTAACATATCCTTTCTCGTACAATTTCTAATGCTCTGTTTATGGCAGATAATCTGTAACATTATGAAGACCTATCAAAAAGTTTTAAGAGTATTACTGTCTTCAAAGGTAGTAAGACAGGATTAAATGTTTATTAGAATAGACAAATCAGTGAATGGTATGCATGTATCTAGTGGTTACTAGAACTCAGGATCACAAAATATAGTAGCATCACAATCTGTGTATATTTTTGATCAAGATGATGATAATGGCCTTACTTGGGTTACTTTTATTGTTTATCAAATCTTATTTACAAAAGAGTGGAAGTATTCCTTTACACAATTTCTGAGGAAAATATTTCTTCCAATCTATCACAATTATAGAATGGATATATGTTTCTGAAAAGTTTTTGAAAGAAAGTAAAAGTTCTAAAACTAAAAGTAAGCTGGTATTTAATATCCCATTGATATTTAGAACCGATTGTTAATAAGAAATGGAGGATGCATTTAGTACTGTTTTTATCCACTAGTTCACTTTCAGTACAGTTAGGTATACTTGTTTTGATTGAGAGTGTGACACATATGTTAAATCAGATTAGCTTGTTTCTTTTGAATATACATATACACGCATACATATTTTTTTTCTCCTTTTTGTTGTGCATATCTCTATGCATTTTTAAACTTTTAAATATGTGAATGACCTATATGTAAATTTTTGTTTTTATGAACCAGAAATTATACAAGTTTTAATGTGTGTCAAGAACTTGTTCTATACAACTGTGGTATCGAGCAATAATGTCAATAACTTTTGGAATTATATAAACTATGCTTAATAATTTGTATTGAGAATTGGTACCACTATACAATACTTTTTTCCTTGTATTAAATCTTTTAAATACCAGTTTCATTAATTTATATACCTGTATTTTTAAAAGTATTTCTTTGTACTTCTTCAAAGTACTGTAATCCTTTATAAATTTGAATAGTCAAATGCCAGTATCTCATGTCCTATATCCTGTCTTGGATATTAGGAGCTATCTTAAAAACTAGGATTAAAATTTTTTTTTTTTGGTTTGGGAATTATATGTTTTCCTTGCCCCCCAAATAACAACTTGAATTTGTGGAACACTTTTCCTGTGAAGAGCTCAAAGTACAAAGAATTCAAATACTTCTTATTTTATTTAACTTGTATCTAGGGTGTGTCCTACCACCTTAAAGTAGTGCAATTAAAAATAATGCCATCTAGAAACTTCATTATTCCTCTGTGGTTTCAGTGTGAAAAATAATTGTATCTTCATACAATGCTAAATCTGCCTCAGGATTCAGAAAGATCAGAAAAATATAATGACTGTGTAAACTATGCAGCACAGTGTTCCGTGTATAAAATTGTATAAATCCATAGAGCACCATATTGATCAGCTTTATAAGAAGAACTTATCTATTTACATAATTTATTCTCCTATTATTAGTCTACTGTGGATAATAATTTTAAAATTACTACATTCCCTTAAGGATATTTTAACGGTAAAATAATTTTCATAGTCGATGATACTAAGTGTAGAATTTTTAAAAGCTTTTTTGATTTTATTCAGCCATGTGCCATTTACTTAAAGATTTCCTAGAAACATACACTTCCAATGTATATATAGAAAAGAACTGTGAATACTTAATATGTGGTATTATCATAAGCCAGTTATGCCTTGGGCATTTAGATTTTCATGCTTGGATTTTCGTTAGTAGCCTATAGTATAACTCTATCCTTTCTTGAATCATGAATTTAAGTGCCCACATTACTGGATATTAGAGATGCCCATGTTAAGTAAACATCAGTCTAAGGGAATATTTAAAGTGATAATTTTTCTTCAGCTTCTGTTTTCTGACTTAAAGTTTGTGGGACATGAACTAGAGCTTTTTAAACTGGCCAAGAAAAAATATTATTGGCAGAAACTTTGGTATATGGATTCTACATAGGTTGAGTAAATAACTTATGGTCTTTTTAAAATACATTAATGGCATTTTACAATCAGTCACCATTTCTGTATAAAAACATTCTTTTCTCAAAAAATGTACATTATATTTTAATATTTAATATTAATATATAACTCTGGCTATCTGGGTTAAAATGATACTCCAAAGCCTAATGACTATAGTAAAACTGATGTGATACATTTGGCTTCTAAGGTAGATGTTGGCCCTCCCTTGCATGGAGATCACCTTACCTATCTAAAATGATCATCACTCTTTAATGACTAGGTTTCATTTATTTAAAATATAAACATGTAATTTTACCCTAATATCAACAAAATAAATTCAACAAAGTCTTGAATAATAGTAAACAATGATTTTCTTTTCTTATTAGAAAAACTAGTTTTGTAATTGAGTAATTTTAAATCAGGAAGAATCCAGCTTTCCCCAAGGTTTTGTCTTTAGTGTTATTTTTTCAGTGTTAGCTTCTGGTTGTTTTTTTATATTAATAGACCCAGGCCAACCATAAAAATCTTTGACAATATGCTGCCCTATCTTTGGATGTAAAAGGACATTAAATAATAATACGTACAGTTGAACGCACAGTTGCATGAGTTCAAACTACTAGTTTTGTATAACACTATGTACATAGTCAGACTATTTCAACTTTTGTGGTATTTAGCTTCACAATTATAACCTTTAACTGCATGCAGATATTTCACTGTAAATATTTGCTTTGACTTGCTGTTGATCAGTAGTACTAAAAACTACAGTGTGTTAAAAACTGCCTTGGACTGAACTCCAGAATCTAGTCCTGTACCCTCTTTTCTTTTATCCTTTTGGACACCATGGATCCTTTTGCTGTCCTCCTGATGTCCAGAGTCTTTACTAGGCCTGAACATAGTTCAGAATTGCATTTTTATCTTTCTTCCTCAAAGCTCGCAGTAAGAACAGTAATTCTCTTTTTTTTTTTTTTTTTTTTTTGAGACAGTCTCACTCTGTCGTCCAGGCTGGAGTGCAGTGGCACCATCTTGGCTCACTGCAACCTCCACCTCCTGGGTTCAAGCAATTCCCCTGCCTTAGCCTCCTGAGTAGCTGGGATTACAGATGCCTGCCACCACGCCCAGCTAATTTTTTGTATTTTAGTAGAGACGGGGTTTCACTATGTTGCCCAGGCTGGTCTCAAACTCCTGCGCTCCAACAGTCTGCCCATCTTGGCCTCCCAAAATAAGAACAGCAATTCTTTTGCATTCTTAGGTAGGTGTTTAAAAGACCAATTAAAGTAAGTCGCATTAAGTGATGAATGGCTGACACCCTCAGTTCTGCTACGGTGGTACTTGCATTTTAAAAAGAGATTTCTTAATTGATGCAGTGGTGCAATTGATGTTTCCTTTTGAAAAGACCCTAATGGTCCACACTTTCTAGGGAGGGAACAATAGGATGGTTGGACATGGGGTTGCTTCTCAAACCTCTGTTTTTGAAAGAAGGTGATTAATAATTAGTTTTTGGGAGGAAAGAATAGGCTAATTTTAAACCAAGCTATTAATTATCCCATAGCTGTTTGTGTATAAATATTTAACCCTTTCTTAAATAAAGTAACTCTTAATTTTTCCTTGATATCATAGTCAACTTTATGTTGTTTTAGGACTATATCTTAAGTTGAGGTTTGAAGAATGTCTTTAAATCTTGAGTTATCTTGTTCTGCACTTCTGTGGAGAGCTTTAGATAATAAGAGAAGCCTAAATATTGATATTATTAATCATAATTCTATCAGTTTCTGTAATATGGAGCATTATCTCCCCCACCCCAATGGCATATTGAACTAACAGAGGTTGTTTATAATCTTAATAGGTAGTTCAGGATGTTGATTCTGATTTGGAATTCATTTCTGATATTCTACAAGACCATCCAACTACTTGGCCTTTTTGCTTTCATTTTCATTTTCCAAGCAGGAAGATACTATGACTACCTCATGGTGTTATCTTGTGAAGCAATATTTTTCAATAGTTTATATCCCTGTTATCAAGTCCTATATAAAAGTAAGTAGTTAGATGTTTAATAATAATGATTGAATAGGTTTTTCAACTTATTTACAAAGTCAGCACAAACTTGAATTACTGTCAGGTTTTGCATTTAAAATGGAAGAGACTGGGTATTCCCTGTATGTACTTAAAATGCTTTACATGTTTAAAAATCAGGGAAACATTAAATATAGTACTTTGAAAAAAGTTTCTTTCTAATAAGATTTTTTTAAAATGTAGTTATGTCTGAGATACTTAAAATCCTGCCTTTTTAAATATCCCCTCTATTTCATAAACATGGTGCTCTGATATTGAGTTGATTACTTTCTTCTCTTTGTGAAAACCAGTATATTGCTTTCCTAGCTCTTTATCTTAGAAAGTATTTTGATGAACTGACCATACCAGGCATCCTTAATTTTGGCAAATAAGGTGTATATTGCTTTGTTGTTTTTTATTTAAAGAAACACAGTGTCAAGCAGCCTTCAAGAGACATACGTGATGGGTCGGTGTTTCGTCTACTTTACTTTATTGAGACATAACGTACCCTCAGACGGCAGTTTGTGTCCTATTGTGTCTTCTGCTGGTTCTTAATTTAGTATACAACTGATTCCATTTCTTTTTTTTTTTGGCATAAATTCTGTATAGATTTAAAATGTTCTATAAGGAAAGAGTATTTCCTCAAGAAACCTTTTGCTCTAAATTAAAGAACTCCTCTTCCTTTAGTAGCAGCTATTTAATTAGGTAATTACAACAATCTCATTACATGGCCACCAAGTCTATAAATAGGAGCTTGTTTTAACTCAAGTATCAAAGCACTTTTAAATTCTGTATTTTTATG